TTTCTTTTTTTTTTATTATTTGAAATCATTTCCCTCAATAAAATTCATTTCCAACTATTTATTATTGAGATGTAATTGCAACGAATAACATTGGAATTTATTGATTTCATCCAATGAAATCAATTAAATGAATATATATATTTGTGCAATTCAATGATTAATTAACTAGAATAATTAAAATTTATTCATTGTGATATATATTTTAGGGAAAAATTTCCTATCTATTGACTGAACAAAATTGTTAAATGTTAAAACTGAGGGAATAAAATGTACTCAGGTAATGCTATCGTGTAGGTAATGTTATTCATATAATAAATAATAATAAATAATTTAACATACACATTTTAATATATACAGGTAATGCTGTTACGTTGCTAACGTACTCAAGTAATGTTATTACATAGATAACTTATTCAGGATAATGCTGTTACGTAACTAACGTACTCACGTAATGCTATTACGCTGGTTATCTATTCAGGAAATGTTATTGCACAGGTAACTTATTCAGGTAATACTTTTCCATAGGTAACTTATTACGTAGCTAACGTACTCAGGAAATGTAATAGCATAGGAGGTAACATATTCAGGTAATATTATTACATAGGTAATGCTATTTTATTGCTTGAATTTTTCACGAATTACATAAAACTATGAAGATTTATGGAAGAAAAGAGAGGAAAAACGGAAAAATTTTTTACATTCAATAATTGGTAATTTTAACGGAAAAAATGCATAGAAATAGAATTTAAAAAAATACTTAAAAAATTAGAAAATGTAATTTATTAAAGAACTAAATTATATTATTATAACAGTACGAAAGATGAATATAATACCTTGTAAAATCCGAAAAAAAAAACGGATTATATGCTTTTTCCAAAAGGTTAAAATTAGCTTTGAAAAAAAAAGTAACATTTAGCTTAAACTGCAATAGTTTTTTAATTGTAGCAATTAGAAATTAGATTAAAATTATAATAAAGCAAGTTGAAATTTATACATTTTCAAATAAGATCGTTTGCAATAGGAATGGATAATTGGGTAAAAATTGCTAATCTAAACATGATAGTTAACGGAAATAAAATTTATTTTAAATTAAATAAATGAAATTTTGCAATAGCATAAGGTGGTATTTGAATAGAAAGCAATAAAATGCAATCGAAAATCGCATTTGAAAATATTAAAACTATTAAAATCAATATTTGTAATCAAAAAAAAAAAGAAAAAAAGGTAGAAAAACATTCCTTTTTTTCTTTTCAAGCACTAATATTTAAATAATAAACCAATAAGATTTATTAACAATTCATTTTTATGCTTTGAAATTTACATAAAGTTTAATTCTTTCAAACGAAAAAAAAAAAGAAAAAAGTAAGAATAAGGAAGAATAGGCCGAGAAATATTGAGTTAGCGGTGGTATTTAGATTGAAATTGAAGAAGAAAATGATGTCGCCTGAAATTCAATTTGTCCCATCGTCTTATACTAACCATCCCGCAGAGAATACGAAAAGGTTTATTTACAAATTTCAGATGATTGCTATGCGAAAATAAATAAACAATACAAATATAATATTTTGTAGTTTATTTGTACTTTCGTATTCAATACTAATTGGAATAAAAAAAAAAAAAAAAAAAAGTAAGAAAATTAAAATTAAACAAATTAAA